CATTTGAAATCTTCTTCCATACTTTACTTTGAAGCACGTACCAAAATCCACAATCTGTTCGAACTAATGAAGCATTTTTTTCCAGTTCTTACTTACGTAATGATATGATGCAAAATACCACGTCATACAGCATGGACTAATTGCTTTTTAAACAGGTCCCCCCCAAACAGCATAAACTTCTTTTAACGAACATAAAAACATAATGTCATGAACATAAATGGTCGAAGTGTAAATTTCTTTATTGTTGGTTTCTTTTTTCAATTATCTATTATGTCAAGTTATATAGTCATCCGTGAAATATTTTAGATAATTTTTTATCCAGCCATTCATCCCTTCAATGGGTCAATAAATGAGTACCAAGCATGTTTGGGAACTGGGGGTTCTGCGTTCGGCTGACCACCTAACGGGAACCTCTGCTCCTGCACCCCAGAGGACAAGAAAACTGAGATGGGCACTGTAGGCTCTATGGGCTGCCGCGTTTAGTTTATTCAATTTAATAAAAAACTTTGTAAGATGGCTCATAGAAAAGCACACTTTTTCAACTAGTATTAATATTAAATAAACAATATAATTATTTATCTCTGGTGAAGTTTGGGATGTTCGAGATGATTGAAGGGAATATAAATAGGGGGCTAACTTTCGTAGGCATAATGTAAACCTGGTCTGGTCCCTGTGTACAAAGGAAAAAAAACAATATTTAGTTCCATCCTCCCTACCACTACTGGGGTTTTCTTTCCATTTATTATTGGTTTGCTCTCACACTATTGATAAACTGTGATGTATTGTTAATAAATATAATCCTATTAGAAACCATTTATATCATTCCTCTTCATTAAATCTACTAAAATATTTCGACAGAAAAAGAAGAAATAAAGCTGCGGGAAATAGTGTACCCATTCATACATTTAGAGTTGCCCCAAAACGGGTTCAAAGGTGACGTACCTCCTGACAGTCACTTTGCTTCTTATGCCCATGTTCTGGACATATGATGCTCTGTTAAATCTGACTATGTTGCTCACCCTGTAAATTGTTTTTCAGGTATAGCATACTGAACCGTGCAGTTCCCCGCATTAATTTCGCATTCTAAGAGCTTCTCCTTTTTATATTCTTTGGTAGAAATATCTTCTTTCGGAAAGGTGATGAAAGCGTGAATCGAAGTTCAAAAGTAGAAATAAAACTCCCAAGTGAATCCCTCATTTTTTGACGAGGCTCTGTCGAGAGATTGCAGCACAATTCTATTTCACTTTCATAAGAAGACCAAACTATAATACTTTTATATTATAGTTATTATACGCATTAATTATAAGCACTCTATACTACTCCAGATATGTGACAAAAATTTTCACACTAATTTCATGCAATGTGAGTTAATTACAATTTTTAAAAAAAACTTCCCACACAGCAAAGTTTTTTTAAAAAAAAAAACGTCAATCTAATTCAGATTTATAAGCTGATCGCAGAAAACAATGTTTTCTTAAAATAAACAAATAAAGAAAAGACATTTAAAATGATACCTTTTAGCATAATTCTTTTGAAGAGATTACATCAATGAACAAACTTTTAGCTAATTCTCTGAAGCCAAATTTAGAATGTTAGTGGAGCATCATTTCATTAAATTAGCATCGAGTATAGTTGGAGATAATTGATCAAGGCTATTTATCTCTTCTCTCTCCCTTGCACTTGACACGCTGTCACTTTTGTAGAGCGCGCTTTACAAATGATAAGCTACTATATTCTTCAATTTATGGCAATAACCGGAAATGAAACCTCCCATTTAGAGTATGTCTTTAAACCAGATGTCATCAGTTACTTCCTACAGGTGATCTCCTCAAAATGGAGAAGATATGTAAAATATCTTGCTTATTTACTTCAACAGACCTCGTTTTGTATTAGATCTGTTGACATTGTTCCAGTTGAATTTTAATGCGTCAATAATTTATTTCTGATTTATTCATTACCATTACAATAAATACTGGGTCGATACAATTAAAGTTACGCTGTTTAAACAAATATAAAGTCTGTTCTGGAAGACGGATATCGATGAAATTTTTCTAAACCACTGGAAAAAAAGAAATATGCAATAAAAAATTACAATTTTATTTTTGAATTGATTGAAATTCAATGCGTATTCAAAACGTATGCTGAAAACGCATGTTCAAAAAGCATTTCAACAAATTCAACAACAAGAGTTTTTGTCTACTGCAGCAAACATGACGGCACAATTTTTTCTGAGTCCTTAAATGATCATTTTTAAATTATCATTCATAAATAATTATTGCTTGAATTTTCAAAAAAGCGTTTTAGCGAATTCAACAACTAGAGTTTTTTTTTTTAATCTATTGCAACAAACATGACGCCATTACTTTTTCTGTGTCATTATACACTGATTTTTAAATGCTTTATTTTACTTTTAGGAAGAAAAAAAGATTAATTTTAATGTGTTTTCTCTCTGTTATGTTTTTTTCTATTAGTTTTGAGTCTTACTTCAGTTCCTTCACAAACAAAATTTTAAGAGAAGCCAAAAATATTTTGTATTTAAACTTACCTACATTTTTACATCAAAATTAAAAAATACAGTATTAAATTTCCACTCTAGACTATATTGTTTAAAAAATATTAAATTTATTAAAAGACGAAAAATGGTAGCAAAGACTAGTAACAAAAATTAGAAGCTAAAAAAAGGCAACGTAAATACGAAAAAAAAATAATAAAAAAATAAATGAAATAAAACAAATGAGTAAATCATGGTATTTAAACAATACATAATCCTACAAGAACTAATGTAACTATTAAATAAGCGCTTGTGTTTATCTTGGAGTTGTTTAATTTCGGTTCATGAATTTCATTATATACAATAAAACGTGGATAAAATAAGACGTGTCATCTGAATTCATACGACCGTTTAGTTAATCACTGCGTTATAACTAAAGACAAACAGAGCGAATAGTTACGTTTATACGACATCTTTGAGAAAATCCACAATGAGAAAACGAAATTAGTAATGGAATTTTCAAACGTTAAATGCGGTAAAATGGAAGTTTATCATCAATAAAATCCGTAAGAATTCATTTTCTTACAAGGCCTGCTTATGGAGCTATCGAATAAAAACAGTTTGAGTCTAGTACTTTTTTAGTTTCTCGTCAAATGGAGTTATTATAATAGTTATAAAATAATTTGAGTTAAACATAATAATTGAAATAAAATTATAAAATCAATGTGTGAAAATCTTTTCACTACGTAAATGGCTCATAATTATATGATTGTGTACAATCTGACTTGTTTTTTTGATAAATTAGTACTGTCAGACGTATTACATATAATCTGCTAATTATTGATTGGTGAACGTATTCATTTAGAATTTCTTTCCCTATTTTTTAAAGCATTTCAATAAAAATGTCAATCGTATAACGGGTGTAATTTTTAATTATATCAGTATAATTTATTGATTGTTCACATAACATGCTTATTTATAATCAAAATTAAAATGAACATCAAAATTTTGTATTTTAATAGCTGCAAAACTGATAGTTGCTTCACGATACTTTGACATGAGTTCAGGTGATAATACTCGTAGTAACATTGTAATGCAGTACGTTAAAAATAAATACAAATAGGAAGTATATAAAAATATTCTGAATTGCGTGTATGTTTAAATATGTGTATGTTTAAATAATAAAGTGCCTCTAATAATTTAATCTAATTATTATAATATACGAAGATAATACCTGATATAGTAAATATTCTGTATTTATATAATGTATCGTTTAATTTATTCTGTCATCTAATGTATATTATACATCGACTAATTTAACTAATTGATACACGAACGTAAGCAAGTGCAGTCAGTGCTGGTTTCAGTCACGTAAAAACTATAAAGCAGTATAATATCACCTGATAATTAAGATTTTACATATAATCTTATAGTGTGTCTAAGAATTTGTCCGGGGACTGTACATATTATATATATATTTATATATATATGTA